TATATATATATATATATAAAATAATTTGCTAAAAATTAGATTGCAAAATGGCTCACTATAGTCTGAAATGGCGAAAAATCGAGAAACTATTATACACGATTATTCTCCATTATAGAGAAAAAATGACTTGTCAAAAGTCTCAGGGTCTGAAAGAGTTTCGTTTATCACAAAATTTATTTGCGTATATATTTAAATATATGCTTCGTAAAAAATTCGTGACCGTTTGTCTTGTATATTATGCATGGAAAAATATTTTTTAAAAGATTTCTTTTATTTTTGATTTTATATAAAGAAATTGATATGTTTTTTATACAAAAGAATTACATAATAATTGACGAATGAAAGATAGCATAATAGAATGAATATTTTTATTAATACGTTTGCATCGAAATATAACCGATGATTTTCTTTTATACATATATACATTACAGATAAATTTTTTTCCTTTGCGTTCACTTTTAAAAGAAATGTAATAATAATGTATTACATAATTATTTTATATTGTCAATTATCAAACTTTAATGAATGAGTGTTGAATTATAGACAATGAAAGATCGAAAGCAATTATTTAAAGGAAGAAGAACATTTCTGAATTATTTTTTAATTAATTAATTTTTTATAACGAAATAAATAAACAACGAAATAAATAAATCTAAAATAGATGCGAGTAAAGTCCAATCAAATAGCCAGATTGTTATATGTAACTGATTTAAAAAAGAAATGCATGTCTCTTGAACTATATCATGTTTTAAAGATTTAGAGAGTGAATCTAATCTATTTAATTTTTAACCTTTTAATCGTGATGAAGATCAAAAATAGATCTCGAATTTGCTCGTGCTTTTAAAGGAGGTATAAACCTTTTTAAAGGGTAAGATGGCATGTCCTTTGACATTTTGTCAAAAACTTAACGTGTGACGGTCACGTACATTTCATACACTTTTCACGCACATACGCTCATTATTATGTATGTTCATGAATGCGTGCGATCTGATCCGGCAACATCCAAAATTTTTACCCGCATTCAGAATGCGACATGAGAAAGATGAGGAGAGGGGTGACTTTATGCATCTCCGAGGCGGATGCAGGAAAAATGGGGGAGAAAAGGGGGATGCGATAGGGTCGACCAGTGTCATAGGTCGACCCAATTGCAGGTCAAAGTTCCAGTTTCCTGCCGAGCGTGCGTGGAACGAGAGAGAACTGGTTCGTCACTATGACGACGTGACGTAACGATCGCGTCATCAACGGCATGAAACTGGGGGGTCGACGAACCCTCTGGTTCAGTCAGCGTTTCGTTCTGGCCAGCCGGCTAGACGCGACTGGCTGACTGGATACCTCTGACGGGGTGAATGAGGGGGACGATGTGGCGGATCCTCTCCTCTCCTCTCTTCCTCTCTCTCTCTCTCTCTCTCTCTCTCTCTCTCTTTCTCTCTCCATTGTACTCGATACGATCGATCTGAGCCCGGCGTCCTTGTCGTGACGTTGGCGAAACGTAATCATCGGTTCTAGCACAGCTGCAGTCTAAGCTTTGCTTGTAGCTTTTATTATATGCGGCCGGAATCTTAGGCTTATTTAACGTCAAATATCAGATAATTAATTATTAAAAATTGAACCAGAGATGTAGATATAAAACGCGATGATTTGTAGAATTTGCAGAGTAAATCTTTTTTGTACAAAAAGTCTTATATTTTCGGAAAATTTAAGCGATAATCTTTTTTATCTTTTTTAAAAAAGAAGAATAAATGGTAACAAAAAAAAAAAAAAAAAAAGAAAAGGAGGATCAGGCAATTGATAATTTTATCGCGTGAAATCACTAACGTTTACGTGTAAAAAAGAGAATTATAACAGTGATGAATCATCACTGATAATATCCGCGGAATGAAGAACGGCAGGTCGACGCTGGGATACCTGACGCACGTACGTACAAGGGACGAGATTCGGGATCGACCGCGATAAAGGGTCGAAGGCTACGGTATTATGCCCCTGATCGAGTTCGTTCCGCGGCGGAATTGCCGTGACGACCGGAACTGGGACGCGTTGTCAGTGGCCTTCTCAATGACGTGAATGACGTCACTACGCCAATGGGAAACTGGGCCAAAGACATAGCGTAGGGGAAAGAGGAAGCGAAGGATCGGACAATCCGACGTGGAGTCCGCGTCGGAAGCTGCATCTATTTCGAGGAAACCGTGCGCGTTTCATGTGATCGATGTACCTTCTAGTTAAAAGAAGCGATTCTAGTATCCTGCGTGGAGGACTAATAGAATACTTGATTATCCTTTTTCTTCCGAAGATAGCAATAGAGGATTTTTGAAAACTTTGATGAGGTATTAAAATTCAAACCGTGAAATACTTTGAGATATTATAATTCAGGTAGATTAATTATCATTATCAAAGTAAGAGTGAAAATTTGATCATTTTATGTTTCCACTCGTAATATAATAATAATGTTAGAGATTTCGAGTTTGACGATGGTAATATTTGATAACGATAACACGATCTCGTTTTATTGAATCCATCTGTAATCGCCCTAATACGACAGAGAAAGAGATAAAAGAAGCTTATTATTGTCTTAAAATAAAATTCATTTCAAGATGGACAAAGAAATTTTTTGACATTGACATTACAAGATATCAACGGTGAAAGTTGTACGCATAAAAAGGATGATAAAATAAAATTAAATACACGACAAATTAATATTTTAATTAATTTCGATTGACTTGGAATAAATGGAATCGGAAGAATTTTAATTAATCTGGAAAAAAGTTACTTATCTTTACAAAAAATACATGTGAGAGTTATTTTTAAATAAGAAAGAAAGACAGACAATGGCAGAGAATGAATGAGGGAAATAGATGCGAGTTAGCGGGGGAATCATTGAATGAATGGATATTTCATGGCACTGGACCGTACCGATTTGCCTTGTCGAAGACTCGTGAATGGGGCTACCGCGCACATCTGACGTCACACAGAGGTGCAAACCCCTGTAACTAGGTCAGTCCTTAGTTCTGTCATGACCATGGATAAAAAAACATAACTGACATGTATCTGCGCTCTCTCTCTCTCTCTCTCTCTCTCATTTCTCTCTTCTTACAACAAATAGTATTTCTCATTGGATATTGTGCGCTGCAACCCTCAGAATTCTGACAAGCGCGTTTACGTTGATTATTGCTGACGCACGTAACATATATATCCTTCGGAAAAGACAACCTTCTATTGAAAATATGAATGAAAGATAGCGAAATAGTTCTAATTTAGCAATGCTCTTATATGAAATAATACTCGCGTTTTAATATTTTCCTAGAGCCTATGAAATTTTTTATAGAAGCGTTTCCTGTCATAAAAGAATTATATATGTATATATAATGGTGTAAAAATTGTAAGATTGAGTATTATATCATTCTTCAAAAATGAAAAGTTTTTATTTAATTTAATAATTTTAATTGTGTGTATTATTTCTACTATTTCCAACCCTAATTTTGATGATATTTAGCATTTCGACTTTCTAACATGACAATGATTATTTTTAATGAATATTGTCTTTGTTATGATGGTAAATTAAAGAATGAAATTTTTCAGTAGTATTTAGAAAGTCTATTCACATCCATGTAAATATAATACCAGCGTATAAATATTATAAGATTTTTTTTCAATAATAAAAAAGTATATGTATAAAGCAAAATGTGTGTGAAACATATTTAAAAAATTTAACTCGTGATTTTTAAAAGCTACTTTGAGAAAAAAGAATTGTTTCACGAGCAGAGATAATATCAAGGTGAATATAAATATATTACAAACATCCTTGAACTTCAAAATATTAAAAATTCTTATTCACGCATCCTTAATTATTTAGTCGCGACTCGATGGAGGAAAAAAAGGACGATTTTAGAATGAAAAACGTTTATTTGAATCGTGAATTATGTCGATATAGACAAAACGATATACAAAACATTCAGTCCTGAGTATAATTGATCTTTACTCTATCTTTTTGTTAGCGACACTCTCGTACGGCGATCATTCTACACGATTGCATACATCGTTCTTACACATATTTGATATTTGTAACGACGATCCGACCGTGGCGGATATGGTTTTATCTTTTTTGACTCTCTCGCATATATATATATTCGCCAATTGATAACATTTAATCGTATAATCACGTAGTGGGAAGTATCTACAAGGCACTAGAAATGAATCTCACAGACAAATGGGAATTTTCACGGATTTTTTCCAACTCCGTCGTATTCTCTCTGTCTCTCTCTTTCTCTCTTCTCGCAAATGACGAATTTTTGTGAATGGTATTTTTCAATTCATTTTTTTTCTTTTTTTTTTTGATGTTGTTCTAAGTTCCCTTTTTTTTTAAATTAATCAGTATCCGCCGGTCGTGGAAGATGTTCTCGACGCACATTCGTACGTTCCCTCTTCCGTAAACAGCAATAATTACACGTAGAACGCGGTTACATCAGCCAATTAGTTAGATTAACCCTTGACCGTATTTACGTAACATTATCACGGAAAAGAATAATTGTGATTGGTATCAACGAGGCATATTATGTCTTCGATTTATACATATTTTTGACAAATTTAAAAGGAGATAATCCCAAATTATTTTTAACTAGATTAAATTCAAATTCGAAAAATAATCTGCGCGTGTGTGTAAATAATAAATTCTATATGAATTTATTAATTTTTTTCTTTTTAAATATATTTGACAATATTTCGGATTCTCAAAGATCTGAGTAAACAGATCTAACAAGTAATCGAAGCCAACTTTCTGTGCTCGTTAATATCTTTAAAAGTTATGCATGTTTTTGGTAAACAACGAGTCAATGATTATATGTTTTGCCTACGATTTTCCATGCAGGGAACAGTGAGAGATTCGTCGATCTTAATTTTTACACGATATATGAATGCACAATATTCTCTACATACATAATAATGATACTCGTTCTTTAATACTGTACCATGCATAGTCGGGGTGGGTCGACAAAAACGTTTTGAAAACGAGATATTTTTATGGCGCAAGAGTTGTTTTCTTTATATGAGACGAGATTCGCGTAGTTATTGTATGAGATGCTAAGGGCAGTTTTCTTATTTTTGGTCTGAAATAATGTTTTGAGACACCAATCTCAATTTATGAAGTATTTAATTACTCAATACTTTTGCTATCAATTAGGTATTTTATTTTAAGTGGAATTTTATGTGTTATTAGTAAAAAATGTAATATGGAACAAATTATTTTTAGACCAACAAAAAGAAATCTATTTTAGAAATTCATTAAGAGGAATCTATTCTTAAAACATTCATGCACGAATTATATATTTATTCTAAATTTCTTTGATATCAGAGAGATTTATTTATGATCTATACGCGTCTATGTAATTGACTTCTATTTCGCGACTAATCGCATCTCTTGGTGCCGATAAAAATAGTAACGTGTCATCACGTGTCGATGGATAAAGGAAACGGATAGTACAAATCGAGGAGTAATCATCTCGAGCTTCGGATGTACATGTAGCTCTCTCGTCGCAACATTTAATTAAAGCCTTAGAGACCCGTTAGAATGCACCTGAGAGTCGTATCTTGTCGCGTATCAAATAATTGAACATCTTTTTGCGATATTTTTCTTAGTAATATTATCATTATTATTATTATTATTATTATTAAATTGTAACTTCTCACATTTTTCGTCATCCGTCTCAAAGCAATTTCCGAGTAAACTATTGAAAGTTGCAATAAAGATAAATAGCAGATTAGTGAAGTCCTACATCGTTTTGCTGATAAATGACGGATTAGTATATATTATTAAATCTATCAGTCTGCATGTTCGTACGTTAAATATTCTCCATACTCTCAATCAGAGAACATTAATCCGAGAAAGGTATCATTAGGTAAAATGTTACTGTAATTATATGTGTGCATATACGTGAGATAATGAAAAGTATCTTGGCATTAAACATCCTACGACATTTGATACAGCAAAGATTTTGATAAAAAGATGTTGCAAAGTATTAAAAAGTTTCGCGCAAATGATTCTCAATACATGGAGAGATTTCTATCGTTTTTTTCTGTGATCCTTCAATTCCGAATTAACAATTTGGACGACAATAAACAGAACTAGATGTTTATATAATCTCCTTTATATGTGTAATTATTTCGTGATTCGATAATAACTTTACGCTCTTCGTATCGAGGATCATTTGCGTTTAATGTACGATCGTTATATTATATGCATATTTATTTAATTCAATTATCCCGTCCCTCGAATTTGACGTGCTTTTTTTTTTCGCTCCTTTCTCATCTTCTATCTCGACGAAACCGACCGATCCGAGCGAGTCGGCATTACGCTTGAGTTATACTACTCGAGAATAAAAGCATCAGATTGGAGGGATTGTCCCGCGCAAATCCTTGATCGCTTAAATTGAATAATGAATTAGAGAAGGGACGTGAAATTTCACGAGGAGTCCGGCAAGTCCGCGGTTATCCCGCGCGTTGTGTACGAAAATTCGTAAAAATTGTCGGCGAGAAGTACACAACGAAGAGATATGTCATCGCAAATAACGACAATCGAAACATGACAATCGATCGCGCATATTATCCTTAACATATTATCCCTCCCTCCCTTCCTCTCCCTCGACCCCTCTCCTTCCTGCCTCTTCCCCTGGCAAAGTGTCTTGGTCCTGCGGTGCAATATCTTTCCTAATCCGCCTCGATCTATCGATAAAGCTCGATCAGATCCTGGCAGGAGCGAGTCTTTATCGTCTGTCATTGAGGACCCGAATTTCGGGGGACCCTCTGGGTAGGCAGACCAGACAGTCCGCGGACGTACATGTAGGGTACCGGACTTCGCAGGATTTTCTTGGGGCTCTTCTTGGCGTGCTTCTTCTCCTTGTTATTCTCCCATTTGGACGAGGTGAACTTGAGACTTTGAAACGCCCGGCGCAGAGTTTCCGTGGTGAAAGGCCTCTTGAGAGAATCGCTGTCGCTGCTGCTGTGAGCGTCCGAGGGGCTGGACGAGTAGGACGAGGGTGAAACACCGCCGCGGGATAGACTCTTGACGTCCTCTGGGCTCAAACTGCGTTTCGACGATCTCTGCAAGCTGCTACCGAACCGATCCTGGGATCGCGTCGATCGTTCCCGCAGTCGTTCCAAGTAGAAGTGCGTCCTCGGAGATCGGCTGGACCTGCACAGACGTTTGCCGCTTCCGCTGCTGCTGCCGCCGCTGCTGCAGCCGCTGTCGGTGCTGCACTCGTCGTCGCCGATCTCGCCCGCGGGCGTTCTACCTCGATGATGGTGGTGATGATAATGATGCCGATGATGATGCTGCGATCGACGATCGCTTAGATCGGTCAGTTGCGTAGAGTCCTCCATGTCGCTGGACATTTGTCCCGTCACTTAAAATCACACGCGGAAGCGTGTGAGATTTCGCGCAATCCGAAAGAATAAATCGGATTGCAGGTATCGCGTATATTATCGCGTGGATCCTCCAATCCACAGTCGTGATTTTGCACACGGAGAAACACTTGTTACGCGTGACAAGCTTCCGAAAACTTCACTCCAACTTGATCGCTGTATTTATCTTTCGTATTTGTTCGATCGTTCGCTCGATCGCTCTGGATCCCTTCTTTCTCGGTAAGACAATGCTCACTTTGAAATTGCGAGATCAAACTGAATCCGACACATCCTATGCGCGGTCTTTTATACCGTCGCAGGTGAACGCGGGAACGTGCGCATGCCCCGGCATGCACGTGAGAGTGCGTGTGACGCTGAGGATGCTGAGAGAGTATCGGAAACGGGGGTTGCAACTGCACCGCAGCAATCGAGACAGGATGCTCCGCCACCACGAGACTTCGATTCAAAGAATTCAATAATACTAGAAAGATATAGTAACGATCAACGTGACCCGTATAATTCTGTTAGATATCCATTCTTGCACGATGACAATTAAATTTATATAATGTAATTGAAAGATAAAACTATGTATTCTTAGTGAGTTTACTTGAAATATATATGACAATATTTTAAAAATCCTTTTAATTCTTTTAAAAATTTATAATATGTAAAGTGTCTATTAATAAATTAATTTAAAAAATTCTCATACATGTTTCAAGAAAACCATTAATTTTGAGATAAAATATACAGTGTTATTTCTAATTATTATATTGTTTAGATTGAATTGTCATTATAAAAGATCGGATTATCTGAGATTATATGATGGGAGTCATATTTATCGCTACTGTTATCTTTCTACTTTCCAGTAATAATGTAATATGTCTAATCTATATATATATGTGTGTGTAGAATTTATAAAAAAATTATATATGTATGTATATAATATTACATTTATTATTTATTAAATGAATAAATTTTTCCGTTTGCGAGTTTGATGAATCGTCGATGAGTTCAGTCTTTTAATGGTATTATCTATCACTCGTTATAATTACACCGCGTATGATCGCGCAGTTTTTGATATTTTATCTCCCAAGATTCCAATTATATGTCGAATTATAAATCGATACATGACGATCAGATAACGACCCATAACCGATATCCAGAAATATGATTTTAATTTGATACTCTTGGGATGCTGTTTCTTTCTTCCCTCCCTGTCTCTCTCTCTCTCTCTCTTTCCGTTCATGGTATAGATTTTGGAAAGTAGTTATGCCACGGTCATTGAACTTACCCTACCGATCGATGTCAAAGGGTGGATGTACCTGCGAGAGACCGTACTTTAGAGAATCAATACGTGCAGTGCCAATTATTAAGCAGCCAAAAGCATTTGCATCGTCAGAATCAAAAGATATCGCCGGGAGATATTGGTCCTGACTAATTATGCGTTATTCTGATTCGCATTCGCAATTTATGATTACGATGATCATAGTTTTCAATTCTCGTAATAGATGACCGTTTGATAAAAAATTCATAGATAATTTAACGTTTTTTTTTTTTCTCAAATATCTAAAAATAATTTTTCTATTACATCCATTAATCTTTCGAATATGTTAGTTAAAGTTTCTCTCAACATTGTCAATTAACTACTATATACGAAAGTAACAATAAGATATCTATAAAATATTCCGCATACATATAGATTAATTAATTATGTGTAGAAATAAATGTGTCACGAATTAAATTTTATGTTTTATGACGTGTAAAAATTGCGATTCTCCCAAGAATGATTTTACGTTTTTATCTTCTTGATGCGCGCGCTGAAGCTTTTTGATCGCGATGTGGCGAATTGCACATGCATGTAATTAGCCGAGAGTTTCGATCTAAATCCAACCTATTTGTGCCATCGAGATTTCTATAATTACACGTGCTGGAATCGGGACAAACGGACGATTTTATAATCTAGATGATGACGTCTCTACAGTAGGAAGATAACCGCAGGGTACAATAATAGTCGATGATATTGATGAGCTCGATATCTAATCAGAATCAGCTGATATTATGACACGTTGAATTAATTTAATTCACATGAAACTTGCAGGGAGTATACATATATATATGTATGTGTGTAACAATGAGAAAACCGATAATTTTTTTTCACTATTGCCATTGCATTTGCGCGGAATTAATAACGCGTTAAAGAATGCCCGTCTATTGTTGTCATTACCATATCAACTTTGTTAATTATACAATATTATAATACTTAGATAAAATATAGTTATAGGCGCTCAGATACTTGCAATTAATTAAAAATTATTCCGCTTATCGGAAAATAAATACTCCTCTCTCATTTAATTTAAATTTATATAAAAAGTACACTTTTGTAAAAAAAACTTTTTTGCTTTTTAATATGACGAAAATCACTTAAAATTGCAGTCATCAATCTTAGAATAATATAGACAGTGGCAAGGGGAAGTTGAGATTAGCGGTAAGGGGGTAGTACAGACACTTCGATCCATTCAATTTGATACTCGGTATAATTCGGCTCATAGCTATTTGTTTTTCCATATATGAAGATGCATGTCATAATTTGACAGTTACACGCACATATTGCGAAAGACAAATAGCTGTGAGCCGAATAATAGCGAGTCAAAATCAAATGGGCCGACATACCCGTAGAGTCCCTCTTTTCCCCTAATATCAGTCCATGTCCTTTTGTTTATATATTTTTTTTGTTGATGATGCAACATTTAATTAAATTAAAATATTAAGAGAAATATTTCAAAAAATGTCTCAAGGACAGATGTGAAATTTATTTTGAAAATCTAAGAAGACTGATCATTATCAAGTTACGTGATCTTTGAAGGGTGTAATCTATAGAGCACGTGAACGCAACGTGATCTTCAATTTATAGATTTTAATTCTTCTTACGCTTTTATTCTTCCGATAAAGCTCGCTCATGCAAATTGCGAAAGCATTATTCATCACGTACCGCGTTATAAAATCACAGGAAGAGAAGTGTTTAATGTGTATAAAATAGAAAAAAAAATTAATTATGGATATATATTGTTATAAGTATCCAGATAAAATTGTTCCTAATTCTATATTCACAAGTTCTATTTCAAAATTTAGTTTGAATTATCTCTAATGGAATAAGACAATAATTTGATGATTAAAAATTTGTAGGATAAATTAATGAGATCATTAAGAGAGCTTTTTTTGCGACCACACATTACGTTTTGATCTCACTACATTTTTATCTGTTTGGGCAAAGCCGATGACGCACCATTTAATTTGATATCGAGGTTAATAGAATTAAATCTGTTTTCTAGTTTTTATTGTTTAGAAAATTTTATTCATAGATATTCTCAGAAGTATTCTATATTGTGAATAAAATGATGTCGCTCTTTCTTTCAAACATTATGTTTCAAAATCATCAAAATCAAATTACATCTAAATTAAAATGTCATTTAATGTCATCTTGCTAATTGGGGTCTTTCTTTATGCGTTTGTTAAAATGCAAATGTAACTTCCGGTGCGCTATTTACAGAGTTTAGCACGCAGTATTAATTTTTATACCTTGGATTTCTTCAGTTAAATCATTAATTATAAATAATAATTATAACATTATAAAATTTATACGCGTGTCCCTTGCGTTATAAATTGTTTATAGCTAATATATCTTTTTTAAACTTTATTTTCTGCAAAAATGTTGCTTTATCCTTTCCGTAATTCTATGTAAAATCAAAAAATCTTATCTGTGAGTTTCTTTCACTTATATTTATATTTTTATCTCTCTTTAGAATCCCATTTTTTTCTCAAAGTCGCAAGTATGACATGTTCTCACTGTAAAGTTAATTAATCAATCCGTTAAGAAGATTTTTTCGCGATGAGATGATGGTATCGAGAGATACCTATTTCGCATTGTTTTTTTTTTAATCGCGCGAAATAGGACGTGAGCGTAGGACCAGGATGGTATGACCGGATAATTGACATAATCGGATTGTGTATATACTCATCTCGCTCTGTATCAAAGACTAGTATTACCATCGACGGTTTGCATAACTGCACGAAGATTAGAACGACAAGAAATTAAGCCGGTCATGCAATACGGTAGAACAGTGCCTACGCGAATGCGTCCAAATAAACGAATGGCTTATACAAAGCTTAAATGTCATTTTCTTAAACCGTTACATTAAAAAAGTACTTTTATAATTTGATAATTGTTTAAAAGTTTTAACAGAAATAGATAAATATTAAATATTTGATTTAGATTATATCAATAAGAAGTGTTAAGGTGAATTAGGTAAAATCAGAGACTTTTTTCGTTAACCTCTCGATACATCCATACTTTACGTATCATATAAAATTTCGCATCTTTATTATTTATCATTGACTTTTATTGCTCTCGTGTGCGCGTATAATATAATAATATAATTTAATCTGCACGAAATAATGTTATTTTTTAAATTATCAAAAATAAAAACTTCTAAAAATATTTTAATCCCAAAAAGTTGTACAAATATGTCCTACAAAAATAATGATATGAAAAAAATTGTGCCAACTGAAAATAAAAAAATTATACAAATATTTTAACCGAAAACAATTGTACAAAATAGCTGTTTAAATTTCTTACAAAAATAATGATATTAAGAAGTTGCGCTAAGTAAATAAAAATTTATGCTATATATAATTTATGATCTTTACAACGCGCTTTGATATACACATCATCGACGACACTCCGAAAAATATAATTTGCAAATTATTACACGTATATGTATAAAATACTTTCACTCACAATATAATGTGTGGATGAATTGGGATAATAATCCAAATTTGCCTTTGCAACTGTTACGACGCAACAGATCGACGCGTAACATGATATAAATATCGATTTAATCCGCAATTCTTCTAATTCGAGAGCTTAGGAATAGCAGTTACGTGAAATAACATGTGACAGGTGTTTATATACCGGGAATTATATTCTGAGCATTGTTTGCATAATTACATACGTAATATGTGTTGGATTAATTTAAATAATAATATACACACATATAATAACATAATCTAAATATAACAGAATGGATACATTTATGCACTCATAATTATAAAAATGATGCGCAAAGTCATGGATTGTTTTCTGTAATAATTTTCGTGACTTTATACGTT